GGAAATAATGCTGATGCCCATGACTGAGGACGTCCCCAGGCAGATCCCACATGGGACACACCTTTATGTTTGAGAACCACAGTACATCCAGAGGTCTGTCCAAGGAGCCTGATTTAAACTCCAGGACAGATACTGGGAGCCCTCTCACTTTACTCCTAGTTAACATGCATGAGATGAGGGCAGTACACCCTAGAGGGTGTTTTCTCAATTGAGACAGGGCTGCAAGGAAGGCCTGGTGGGGACTGAATTCTTCCTCACAGACCTTCAATTCTTCCCAATAAGGATCCTGCAGTTATGTAAACAAGTGTTGAACACATAAAAAAAAAATCAAGGTTTGGGAGAGTTTACCATTCTCCTAGCATATGAAAGCAAGTGTTTTATATATATATAGATATAGATATAGATATATGCCATTGTGTGTATAGGTGTACTTGTGAATTTCCACAAATGTATAGAAATACTGCCATCAAAAGATGGAAAACATGCCATCTGCTTAAGAGAACACTCTTGTCATGCCTATTTGAATGAAACCCCTCCATAATGTTACTTAACACTAAAAAACATTTAAAAATTTAATTTCCTTTGCTTTTTAATAAAACTTGAAGCTACTACCTGTATTTTTTAGACTTCCAGAAAAGGTGCTGGAAGTCTGAGTAAATGGAAATGAATCCTATGACAGTCCAATGGGTAGTGGGGCTGTGTGCATTATTGAAACAGGAGGCTTCCAACCACTTGTGTAAGAAAAAGACGTCAAAAATTTCCCATCTCTCCTGTTACACCCAATTAGGTTATTACTCAAAATGATACCCTCTCTCTGCAGCTCACCGTTATTCCTCGGACGATTGCCTTACACCTCTTTGTGGTGTTTCCAGTGGGGAATAGCAGTGGACCTGCATAGATATCACCTTACACATAAACTCAGGATGGGCTAGAACAGTGCAGATGAATATAACTCTTTCTTCAATTGGGAGGACTCCATGGTATAATGGGGTATAAATTGTGTGACTCAGTGTGTACAGCAGCAATGTGAAAATGCCAAATACTGTAACATTTTACATATTAAAGGTAAATGATAAATCCTCTCAAATGATATTAATCACTAAAAGACACCGCAAATATCTGTGGCCAAAATCAATAGGAAGTCTCAAGTTCCATAAAAAGATGTCCAAACTCATGACCACAAGTTCTATACACAAAATTTGTAACAGTGAAGCTTTATTCTTAATCAATGAAAGCAGGACATTCTATATTGTCACCCATTATTTATTTACATAAACAAGAAGTTCCAGAAATAGTGTTTAAGATGTATTTACATGGTCAAAATACAAGTGATCAATAATGACATCCTCCCTCACTGAGGCTTCTACCCTCATAGAAAAGAAATACACACCCAGCCTCTCTATTGTGGCACATCATTTTACTTTCCTTCAAATCCTTTATTTCCAGACTATAAACTAAAGCTTTACCATCTGTTAACCATCTCTTTTCTCACAAAAGTACAAACACCAGAACTGCAAGAACAAGTGTGTCTCACATCCCTATACCCAATCCTACAGTGTCTTGATTATTTCTGCTAAATTGGGTTCGATGACTCTAAAGTGCCTGGTAATGAGGGATATTGAAACATTAGCATTGAGGGGCACAGTCTCTGAGCAAGAAATGTTTGATTAGACCAGTCGTCCTGTCTTTCTCCCTTGCTAGGTTTGTATTTGCTCACAATTTACCTAAACTTATAGCCCTCAGTTGAGTCATAAAAGAAATATTTAAAATATTATGTAATATGCTAAAAAGTGAATTTATATATTTTAACTGAGGTACTTATGGTAAATGGTGTCTAATACACCGTAGGAAATTCATCAGTGTTTAGATAATAAGTACTAAAGGCATAAGCCCTTTCAGAGTACTGGGAGCGGGCCTGCAATCTTTGTAGTAAAGGCAAGTTTTATCCTATTGAAGAGAAAGATATCACATATCTCCTTCTTCAAAGCTACTTGGTGACTATGATGGACCAAACAAAAATATATTTTGTAACCATGTTTTTAAAAATGGTAAAAATGACCATTCCAAATCATAAAAATGATCATTATTGCCTCTTCTTACTAATATGACTGACTGGGGCTTCTTACAAATTTAGATTTACTACAATGTTTTTCCCTACTAGAAAACAATGTTTATGACTAACAATAACATAAGTTCACTTCCTCATAGGATTCAATATACAAAAAATGTCCTGGTGGGCCGGCCGAGTGGCGCGATGGTTAAGAACTCGCTTGGGATGCCAGAGGGCCCCGGTTCGGATCCCACATATGAGGGCCAGTGACACTGCCCTCCACAGCTAAGATGCTGAACAACAGCTCAACCTGGAGCTGGGCTGCCATGAGTCGCCGGCGACGGCGTGGGCTGCAGTCCCTGTGGCAGTGGATTGCCATGGGCTACCGTGTGTGGCCAGCAGCCAGCGTGAGCGGCCAGCAGCCGCAGTGAGCGGCCGTCCAGAAGCCGGCGACTGATCTGCCTCGCCAGAGAAGAGCGCAATGATGGTGCCAACTTGGGCCAGTGAAGCAACGTCCTCCACAACTAGATTGAAGAACAAAACGACAGCAACTTGTCTGTTCCCCTTCCCCCAATTCCCCAATAAAATATTTAAAAAAAAAATGTCCTGGTGCCTTGCATAGCCATCAAGTCATCTAACACAAGCCAAATCCTATCAAAGTCTGAGCAACCTTTTATGTTACAAATAACAGTCATGTGTACTTAGTGGTCATTCTTATTATTAGAATTCATCATACCCCTCTCTGACTATAGGTGCAATTATGTAGGTCACTGGCAAGAGGGCAGTGAAGAAAACCATGATTTAAGGTTTCGGTATTAAGAATGAATGAAAATTAGTGTCATGACAAAACTGTAACTAAAAAAACCCCATAAAATAGTCTTAAGAAACATTACCTGACTTAAATGCACGTTAAAATTGACTCAAAATACAAAGCTCTGACAATTAAGTTTGTGAACTTGTTGCAATACTGCTGACTTTTTTTGGTATCAGAGGGATTATTCATTATGAATTTGTACCAACTGGACAAACAGTAACCAAGTTTACTATTTAGAACTGCTGAAAAGGCTGTGTGAAAAAGTTAGATGAACTGAACTTTTTGCCAACAATTCATGGCTCTTGCATCATGACAATGCACCAGCTCACACAGCACTGACTGTGAGGGAGTTTTTAGCAAGTAAACAAATAACTGTATTGGAACACCCTCCCTATTCACCTGATTTGGCCCCCAATGACTTCTTTCTTTACCTAAAGATAAGGAAAATATTGAAAGGAAGACATTTTGATGACAATCAGGACAGCAAGGGTAATACGACATCTCTGATGACCATTCCAGAAAGAGTTCCAAAATTGCTTTGAAGGGTGGACTAGGCGCTGGTGTCAGTGCATAGCTTCCCAAGGGAAGTACTTTGAAAGTGACCGTAGTAATATTCTACAATGCTGTATGTAGCACTTTTTCTAGAATGAGTTCGCAAACTTAATTGTCACACCTCGTATATGATTAAATGAAGAGAATCACAAAGTTTATTTGAAAATCTGTAATTATAATGGGATATTTGAACATATTCTCTCGGGAAATGAAAAAACAATATTTGTTAGCACATGGCTTAGGAAACAATAAAATATTTCTATGAAAAACCTGCAGAAGTGCTCATTTGACAAAAAATGCACATAGAGTAATACCTTGGTTTGCAAGCATAATTTGTTCCATAAACAAAATACTCATATTGTAAGACAGCACTAGTTTACCAAGTTAAAATGTATTATTAGGCTGGTGCAAAATAGCGGTTTTTGCCATTACGCGTAATGCCAAAAACCGCTATTACTTTTGCACCAACCTAATAGAAATGTTTGCTCATCTTGCAGAACACTCGCAAACCAAGTTACTCACAATCCAAGGTTTTACTGTACTTTAATCACATACAATCAAACATAATTGTAAACATGTTCAGGGCTTACATTCAGCTACAAGCAACAGGAAACACCCACAGGCTTTCTGACAGGAGGAAGGGGCCTGGTCTCACATGGAAGGACTGGGTCACGGCAGCCACTGCACATGCAGCAGAGAAACAAACTCCTGTGTCCTTCTTTTTGATGGCACCGTGTCATGGTGAATCAGGAAAACATGGTCACTAGCATTTGACAGCTTAAGGTGTTCCCTATACAAATTAGACCTTAAACAGATATAATCTAGAGAAGAGGGAAATCAGACATAAGCATGAAAGTCTGAATCAGTTTCCTATAGATATAAGAGGGCTGACAGAAAACTCCAAACTATGATGGATCTTTGGTGTGGATCTTGTGAAGACATCAGTGGAAAGCTATACCTCTCAGAAAATGGATAACCAACAGTTGATAGAGGTTAGGAGGATAGTCTTAATTGGAAAATAAAAGAATTTAAAAAATGGACTGGAAGATGGTGTCCTTGAAGCTCCTATGTATCTGTCTATCTGTCCAAATAGTGGCTTCAAAGTCTGAATAATGCCGTCTTTGTTTTTGCCTTCCAAATACAATGCAAGTGAGGCTATTAAGAAATTCTAGGGCCAGCCGAGTGGTGCGTTGGTTAGGAGCTGGCTCTGAGCAGCAGGGCCCTGGTTCGGATCCCACATGAGGGCCAGTGACACTGCCCTCTACAGCTAAAATGGTGAGCAACAGCTCGACCTGGAGCTGGGCTGCCGTGAGTTGCCGGCGACGGCATAGGCTGTAGTGAAGCTGCAGTGGGCTGCCATAAGCTACTGTGTGTGGCCGGCAGCCAGTGTGAGCAGCCGGCAGCTGATGTGAGCTGCCAAGAGCCGCCGTCCAGAGGCCAGCGACCAATCTGCCTCACCAGGAAGAGCGCAATGATACCAACATGGGCCAGTGAAGCAACGTCCTGCACAACTAGACTGAAGAACAAAAGGACAGCAACTTGTCTGTTCCCCTTCCCCCAATTCCCCAGCGCTGTTCCCCTCCCCCAATTCCCCAATAAAATCTTAAAAGAAAAAAAGAAATTCTAACATGGAACCATAAATGGGATGGATTCTGGAAAATCAAGCTCCTAACATTACCCATGGGGGGTATTTCCAACTGTAGATTTTCTTGCCCTATTACAGGTCCCTCTTCTTAAATCAAAATAATTCAACAAACACAGGTTAGAAGGAAGGACAAAAAGCAAAGGTACATATATAAAAATAATATTCACATGAAACTATATTCTTTCATAAAACTGCTGTACATAAAATTTATTTAAACTATTTATCAGTATCAAAAAATGGAAAAACACTTCTATCCATTAGCCCCAAAAAGGAGCTTTATCAGAGGAAAAAGTAGAATATATATACTAATCTAGGGATATAAAGGATTTCCACAATGATGCTAGGAAAATCCCACTACAAAACTGTTGTTTTTTAATGGCCCCTTAAGACAGAATAAAACATAAAAAATTTAACGTAACTCCGTGTAAGAAATACACTTCAAAGTGGAGAGAAATCTTATTAAACATTTTAAGGAAAAATCAATAATCTTATGTATTATTGTTGAAAGACTACTCTCAGAATGATCACATCTGAATATTCATTTTTGAAATTAGTAGAAATCCAAGGTCCAATAATGCACTTTAAGAAAAAGGTTTAACACAATATATTTACAACTTTAATAAGAGCTGTTCATATTGAAAGTTTTCTGGCCCATTATACATGGATTAATTTCTATCAAGCTTTCTCTCATGTTACATTTTTATTTCTTTTCCATGGGAAGTTTCACATGTAAGGATGTGGGCCAATGCAAGTCTTTCCCATGCTGTTTACATTCAAGAGGTTTTATCCAGTGAGTCCTTTCGTGCATTCGAAAGGAACTGGGATAACTAAAGCCTTTCCCACATTCTGCACTTTTATATGGTCTCTCTCCAGTGTGCATTGTCAGGTGTCTTCGAAAGTTTGTGTGGTAACTAAAGGCTTTTCCACATTCCTTACACTCATAGGGTTTCTCTCCAGTATGAGTTCTTTCATGTATTTGAAGATAACTGAGATACCTAAATGCTTTGCTACATATTTTACACACATAGGGTTTTTCTCCAGTGTGAGTTCTTTCATGTGTTCGAAGGTAACTCAGACATCTAAATGCTTTGCTACATATTTTACATTCATAGGGTTTCTCTGTAGTGTGAGTTCTTTCGTGTATTTGAAGATAGCTGGGATACCTGAATGCTTTACTACATATTTTGCATTCATAGGGTTTCTCTCCTGTGTGATTTCTTTCATGTATTTGAAGATAACTGGGACACCTAAATGCTTTATGACATATTTTACATTCATAGGGTTTCTCTGCAGTGTGAATTCTTTCATGTCTTCGAAGATCACTGAGACACCTGAATGCTTTACTACATATTTTGCACTCATAGGGTTTCTCTCCAGTGTGACTTCTTTCATGTGTTTGAAGACTTTGATAACATCTGAAGGCTTTTCCACATTCCTTACAGCCATAGGGTTTCTCTCCAGTATGAGTTTTTTTATGTTTTCGAAGATAACTGAGACAACTAAATGCTTTACTACATAGTTTACATTCATAGGGTTTCTCTGCAGTGTGAGTTCTTTCATGAATTTGAAGATAACTGGGATACCTGAATGCTTTACTACATATTTTACATTCATAGGGTTTTTCCACAATGTGAGTTCTTTCATGTTTTCGAAGGTAACTGAGACAACTAAATGCTTTGCCACATTTTTTACATTCATAGGGTTTTTCTCCAGTGTGATTTCTTTCATGTGTTTGAAAACTTTGGTAATATCTGAAGGCTTTTCTACATTCCTTACATTCATAGGGTTTCTCTCCACTGTGAGTTATTTCATGCATTCGAAGAGAACTAGGAATACCGAAGGCTTTACCACACTGTTTACACTCATAAGGTTTCTCTCCAGTATGTGTTCTTTCATGTAATCGAAGTGAACTTGAACAACTGAAGATTTTCCCACACTCCTTACATTTATAAGGGGACTCTGTAGTGTGTGTTATCATGTGTTTTCGAAAGGTTTTGAGGCACATGAAGACTTTCCCACATTCCTTACATTTATAGGTTTTCTCTCCAGTGTGAGTTCTTTCATGTTGTTCAAAACACTGGAGATAACTAAAGGATCTCCCACATACATTACATTTATACGGCTTCTCTCCATATTTCAGATACTCAGAGGACTTGTGTCTAGTGTGACATTTGATGAGTCTATCAAGGGATGAATGATACACAAAGACTTTTCCACATAAACTGCGCACACATGGTTTTACTCCAGTTTTCTTCTTCAGATTGAAATTTGAAATAAGGTTGAAGTTTTCTCCACCCTGACTATTGTCTTTACTTTCACAGAGTCTCCCCACCATATAATTTCTGTAAAAAATGAAAAGCACATAATTAATGATTTCTTCATTAATGATTTTCTATTCATATTTTTTATGATTTTTAGGAAAAGTATATATATATATATATATATATATATATATATATATTGTCTTCTCTAATTTGTCTAAAATTAAATATACTGCATGCTCTCCAAAAAGACTTCACCCTTGCTTTTATCAAACTGTGATATGAATATATAGGGTTTATTAATATTGTTCACAAGTGAACAATTTTGCAAACACTGAACATGTATGTTACATTTATGAAAGTATTTTTGTAAAAATTTTATAAGAAAAATATTTTAAGCAGCATTTATTAGTTTTGTTTGCTTCTTTTAAAAATTTCATAACTAACTAGAGTCCTCACAAGAGACACTGCTTTCTATTGTGTGACTCACCTTAGTTTTCTCCCCTGATTTCTGCACTGATCTTCAATGTCAGGATCTTCCCATTTTTTTCCTAAAATGCAGAACCAGAAAAATGACCCCAAAGTATCAGATTATAGAAAGATTATTAGCTTCTAGATCCATGATAAGCTGTGACCATATCTAGTTTATTTACCAGCATCCTCTCTTTCCACATCACACATCTTGGAACAATGTTGATGAGCAAGAAACACTAGTTCTCTAATTGACAATTGAAGGAATATCATCATCCTTACCTACTGAGGCCAGGTTCCTGAAGGTTTCCCGCATCACATCTTTGTAGAGTTTCTTCTGTGAAGGATCCAGTAAGGCCCACTCCTCCAGGGTGAAGGTCACAGCCACATCCTCAAAGGCCACTAAGTCCTAAAACATCCCAATATATGTAGAGTAGGATGTGAGAGACTGACAGCACTGGGCATCTAGACTCCATTTATAGGAAGGTTACATATGATTCTCTCATCTTCAAACATCTCATCTATGACTTGATCATCAAAAACTTATACTCTGTCCACACTTACTTTCTCATAAGTCTAATACCATCAACACACAGAAATTACAAATTTTTACTGTGATCACTTTATATCTTATTTATCTCTGGTGTCAGGGTCCTGAGCATGTATGGAAATAACCAAAATGCTATAGGGATGAAACATATATTATCATTTTAAGACCACAAATTCCTTGTGAAAAATAATTCTTTTGTCTTCTTCCTTATTACCCACCATTTACAGTACTACAGGAGGCAGAGGGTAAAAACTTCATAAAGTTGTAATGAATAAAATATAGTGAAAAACTGGAAGCTTTTCCTTCTATTCACACCACCAAATATAAGAGTCCAGGAGGCCTGCAGAAATTAAACTTTCAACAAAGCCAGCTGACCATGTCATCCTCAAGTCCTCCAGGCCTCTTATCAGTCAGTAATCAGATGCAGCTGGCTGAATGTAAATATGCATGTGGAGAAGCATTGCTTATAACTTATGTAATATTAATCACAGACTGAATTCTTCCTTTCTCTCTCTGTCCAATTTAATGGGGCTAGAAAGTTATTTGGAACATAGAGTTCAGACACAAGGAAGAAGGCATGACAAGTTAGTCATCAATCCCTGTACCCCTGTGCTCAAGGCTGCTTCTAACCAAATGTTAGAACAACATAGTGAAAGAATATGCCAGGAGAGCTCCTTCTGGTCAAACCATAACAGGGTACCCTGGGCCTCACTGCTCTTGAGGAACAGGTTAAGAAAGAGCTGTAGCTTGCAAGGGAATTTACTGAAATCCACATGGGTGAGTTTATCTCCGATTATAGAATACATAAAGGATTCAACAGTGGTTTCCACCAAAAGAACATAGAATTTCTATTCTCTAATTTCTGGAGGAACTGTTTACTAACAAGTCACTCTAAAGTCTGCCTTGCCAACTTCTGGTGTGGCACTTAAAAACTTAGGAGCTGTCGTTCTCATTTTCACACACTCATAAAAATAATAATAATTGAAATACACACACACACAAAAACACAACTCTACCCCCCAAAACCAACAAAACAAGCAAACGAAAATAAAACTGAAAAAAACTTGAAATGAACAATTTTTCTTAGATCCGTCAGATCTCAAGATCACAGGGAAAACTGGCACCTCCAAAATAAGAAAAAAGGAAAAATAAGACAGTACTTTGAAATATGCCCTAAATTTCTGTTCTTCACAAGGCCTGTGCTCAAAAAAAAAAAAAGTCTCTTTCAAAGATGATGAAGAACAAAAGAGACAGAACACAATATCCATGAATTCTAGGGCAACCCTCTTTAACATGAGGTTTGAAATACACATAATGGGGAAAAACAGGGCAAAGAAACAGGAACCATAAATGAAGGAATGATCACTAAAACTTCCTAAAATTAATAATAGATGGCATACTGTAGATCCAGAAAGCTATAAAACACAAAACATGAAAAATACCAAAAATGTATATCCAAGTTTATCATATTCAAATTAGACAAAAATCAATGACAAAGAGAGCTTATTGAAAGAAGCCAGAGGGGAAAACAGACATTAGGTATAGAGAAACAAAGATTTAAATGAAATCAAACTTCTTTTCAGAAAAAAACCACACAAGCAAGTACAGTCGAGTGAACATTGAATGTTTTGAAATTAAAACAACACTCTTGTAGAATTCTGTGCCAGACAAAATTGTCCTTTAAAAATAAAGGTGAAATAAGGACTTTCTGAGACAAAAATAGAGGAAATTTGTCATTAGTACAGCTACTTTGAAATATATAAAAATTAATTAGAAAGAATGTAAATAATAAAGGTAGAGAATTAGGAAAGGAATAAAGATAAAACAATTTTGTATTTCTTATACAACACATGACACTTTGTTTATAATATTAGTAATAGTAGTAATAGCACTTATGGGCAATTGAAATAAATGACAGCAATGTGACAAGGGACAATGGGGGGAGATTGAGAATAGTGTGGTAGGAGGTACTTGCACAAACAGCGGAGTGATATAGTATGACTTGACAGAGGATATGGGTTAGTTGTAAATGTACACTCAAAACTCAGGGGCAACAACTAAAACAGTTCTTTTTTAAAATGTATGACTGATATGCTGAGAGAAATAAAAAATCAGGTAAAATGCTCAATTAACGCCAAAGAAGGCAGAAAAAAAGGTTGAAGACAAAAAGGAACAAAGAACAAGGGCAAAAAATAGAAAACAATAAAAAAGATTTGGTAAGTATTAATCTATCAGTATCAATGGTCTCAATATAATTGACAGATATAATAGTATCAGATTTTAAAAAATCACAGTTGCTTATATATTGTTTATAAGAAACTCACTTTAACTATAAAGATGTATATAGATGAAAGGTAAAGGGATGTAAGAAAATGTACCATGCCAACAGTAATAAAAGGAAAGCTGGCATAGGTGTATGACTTATGAAAATTTTAAGCCAAAGAAAACTCAGAGATAAACAGGGGCATGGCAGAATGATAAAGGGGTCCATTCTCCAAGAAGCCCTAGCAATCCTTTAGGTGTAGGTGCATAACAACACAAGGGCAAAATATATAAGTTAAGGACTGATAGAATGCAAGGAGAAAGGGATGAATCCACTACTGTAGCTGGAGAGTTCAACATCCCCTTATCATGAAATATAAATTCCTGTAGAACTGAGCAGCACTACACAATAACTGGATTTAATTGCAATCTGTGAAATACTTCACGCAACAACAGAATACACATTCTTCTCAAACTCACATGGAGCATTCATCAAGACAGAACTCATTCTGGGACATAAAGCATACCTGAAAAATTTGAAAGAACAAAAATCATATAAAATATGCGGTTAGACCACACAAAAATTAATCTAGAAATCATTAACAGGAAGGTAGTTAGAAAACCCTGAAATACATGGAGATTAAAAAACACACGGGATCAGGGCCAGCCGAGTGGCTCGTTGGTTGAGTTGGCTTGGGAGCACGAGCTCTGAGCAGCAGGGCCGCCGGTTCTGATCCTACATGGGCCAGTGACACTGAGCCCTTTATAGCTAAGATGGTGAACAACAGCTCGACCTGGAGCTGTGCTTCCGTGAATCGCTGGCGACGGGGTAGGCTGCAGTGGGGCTGCCATGGGCTGCCCTAAGCTACTGCGAGGGGCCAGCAGCTGGTGTGAGCGGCTGTCCAATGGCCAGCGACTGATCTGCCTCAGCCAGGAAGAGCGCAATGATCACAATACCAACATGGGCCAGTGAAGCGACGTCCTTCACAACTAGACTGAAGAACAAAAGGACAGCAACTTGTTTGTTCCCCTTCCCTGATTCCCCAATGCTGTTCCCTCTGCCAATTCCCCAATTAAATCTTTAAACAAACAAACAAACAAACAAACAAACAAACAAAAAACCCCACATGGGATCAAAAATGTCTCAAGACAAATGAAAAATTATTTTCAATTAAATATATATGAAGACACAATGTATCAAAGTTTGTAGGAGTACCTAGAGGGAAATTTATGGCATTGAACAAATACACTAAAAAAAATCTATAACCAATAATGCAAGCAACTACCTTAAGAAATGATTTAAAAAGAAAAAATTAAACTAAAAGTAAGCAGAATAAAATATAATAAAAATTAGAAAAAAATCAATATTAACGTGGAAAATCAATGGAGAAATATTTTTAAAAAATTTTGCTTCTTTGACAAGATTAATAAAGCTGGTAAGCATCTAGACAAGATAACCAGGAAAAAGGAACCTGAAATTACTACTATCAGAAAGGAAAAAAAGGGGGAAATGAAAAACAGGATTTGATAAAATGGAATATCCACTTATGATAACAAACTAGCAATAGAGGGGAACTACCACTTCTTGAGAAAGAACACCCTAAAAAACCTGTGGCTAAATACACTGCATTTGTTGCTCATGACATGAGTGTCTATGAAACACCAGAAAGAACCCACAACAACAGAGAAAACTCCTGGGATCATTAAGAGATTATAGCAAGGGTTAAGGATACAAAAGTCAATTGCTTTCCCACAGACCCCACAAATGTACTCAATTGATTTTTGACAAAGGAGGAAAAATAATCAATGGAAAAAGGAAGGCTTTTAAACAAATAGTGCTGGAAATAATATATATCCACATACAAACACACATACACACACACACAAAATGAATGTAGACACAGGCCTTATATTTTTCATAAAAATTAATTCAAAACACATAATAGATCTAAATATAAAATGCAAAAGTAATGAACTCCTACAAAATACCAAATGAGGAAATCTAGGTGCAAATGAAACAACAATGAGGTATCACTACGCATGTATTAAATGGCTAAAACTCAAAACACTCAAACACTAAATACTGGTGCAGATGTGAAGCTGCAGGTAACCCTCATTTGTTGCTGGTGGGAATGGAATCGGGCATGCCCACATTGGAGACCTGAATTTTATTTCAATACAAAATATACTCTTACTACATATAGTACGTTCCAGCAATCACACTCCTTGGTATAGACCTAAATGAACTGAAACCTTATGTTCACACAAAACCCTGTACATGAATGTTTGTAGGCGCTTTATTCATAATTAGGAAGAATTAGAGTTAAGCAAGATCCTTCAAGAGGCAGACAATCAGTGGTAAATCCAAACGACAATAAGCCCATGTGACAAAATACCGTGCAGTGATAAAAAGACATGAGGCATTAAGCCATGAAAACACATGGAGTAACTTAAAAGTACATTGCTAAGAGAAATCGGACAAGGCTACGCACTTATATGATTCCAAGTAATGACAACCTGGAACAGACAAAACCATGAGCCAATAAAAAGATCTTTGGGTTTGATGGATTTAGGGGTTGGAGGGAGGAATGAATGAA